AGTAGGAAGTGCATGCAGAAGTAGGAGAAAAGTCTTTGCTAATATATCAAGCTGTTCATTGCAATGAATGGACAGCACCATTAAGACCCATAGAATACGTCCATGATGCGGCTCTTCTCCTTTATGGTCCTTGTCAGAACCCCACTGGGTGGCATAGATGTCCCTCTGTGTTGTAGGCAAATGGCATCTCCCCTTCTGTAGCTGGGGCAAACATCTTTGTTTTGCTGTCTCCATGGTGCTGAATGGAGAAATAGCAAAATAATACAACTGCTTTTTGATTTAATGAATGGATTTTTATACTGTAGAAAATTTCCCTACTTAATCTTTGCCTCCCTGGCTGCATTTGTTATTTTTTTTTAAGTTTCACATTCAAATGAAGCTGTTTCCTCATCACAGTGTACCCTAACAGTGGGAAAGTACCTTGCTCTGTTGGCTGTAAATCAGACTGTTTAGTAAATAGTGCTGAAAGCAGCCTCAGAAGCATTCACTCCAGTGCCTATGTCCGCACTCTCAGTTGAACTTCAGACATTATTATCATACTTTGGCTGTCAACTAATAGGCTAAATAGAGATTCATTAAGCTACAGGGTTATTTCTTTGTCCAGCTGACAGAAATTTGGCGTACACCTGATGAATGGTGGGCAATTATTCCAGTGAGAATTTGCTTCAGAGGGATGATGTGACCGCAGTGACAGATTCAAAAAAGCAGAAATAGATCCTTTCAGTGTGGTAGCTTCTTTTTTTTTTTTTTTTGTAGAGTTTGCCACCAGCCTGTGGGCTGTTCCTCTGTTTCAGGCAATAACTGAATGCATTGTCATTGTCAGGAAGTCTGTCCTCCGACTGGAATGTCACCGGAAATTAGCGTACGTGATGAACACTTTGCAGAAGTGAAGAACACTTAGAGCCACTTGTTTCGAGTGTTGGAAGCTAATCATTGTATGTGGGATTTCTTTGAAGGTAGGGATAGGTTACCAAACTCGCAAAATCCAAGGAAGCTTTCTTCCTGTAGTACTTAATTTGCACTTCAGCACTGAGACACAGCAGGGATAGTTTATTTTGCGCTCCTGATTATCCAAAACCCACCAGGACTCAGTACCTCTAGAAAATGAGGTATCGTATGAAACAGATTCAACTACAGCTTAGTTAGAAATAGGACAAGTAGATTACAAAAGAGCCAAAGTCCAATTCAACACACAGGAAAGTACAGAACAATTCTTTAATAGCAATATTTAAGGGATCCTTATCAACAATGTATATGTTTATGTAAAGTACTTCATATCGGGCACTATCATTATCAGATTTTAGTAACTCAGATATTGATGTTGGTTTTTAAAAATGTCTGTAATCCATAGAAATAAAGCTCATATTAACCAACTTGATGCTTCCCTTTTTTAAATGCTACACAGCGAACCGAGGTTATTCAAGTAACCTAAAGATTCAGCCTGGTAGACTTTACAGCATCACATCTAGTATCGTGTTGAATATAAAAGGTTTTACACTATTTAACCCACTAATCATTACATTTATTCATTTATCTGACGCTTTTATCCAAAGTGACTTACAATTGCTATACATGTCAGAGGTTGCATGCCTCTGGAGCAATTAGGGGTTAAGTGTCTTGCTCAGGGACACAATGGTAGATGGGTCACAATGGGGGTATTGAATCCGGGTCTCTCACACTGTTTGTCCCTGTATCTGGGACTGTAAGTCCACTTTGATAGACTCTGGGAGATGAGACATCTCACTGGTGTGTGTTGATCTATGAAACCACGTAATTGTTCAAGGAGGATGATACATTTTCAAATCAGCACAAGGTTATATATATTTTTTTATTGAATAGTTACTGAAAATGAATGGCATCTTTACTTTGGAAACAGAGGAAAGCGCTGTGGAATGATGTTAATATTCAGGAAAGCATGTTTCTTTAGGAGAGGGCCATGTTCTGTTTATAGTTTATAAAAAAAAGTCCCAAAAAATAACAACATATTTATAAAAACAGGGTTTGACCTGCCAGTTTACAGTCGCAGACCTGTAACATAAAAAGTTCCTTTGCAATTTGGTTATGCACCTAATTGTCTGTCTGCAAAATTACTGGCAATGGAAACCTGGATTTTATGTTGTTTATTGCAGCGCAGGAGCCAACATGTTAGTGCCTCGTTGTCTGAAGGGCCATACTTGTTAAAACCACTGCAGCCCCTAGTGACATATTTTCTTACTATGTCTTTCTCGTCCGTGTTGATCTGAATGTAAAATTGTAGTGCGACTCCGAAAAATGTCAAGAACCTTTCATTGACCTGCCTCTCCAGTGGAAAAGCCACAACTTGATAACATATTACAATGTCAGTCATGATGTAGCATCAGCTGACGCAGACTCGGTGATGTCTCAGTTGACGGAAACCATTTATTCTGCAGCAGTAGGCTTCCTGCCCCCGGGGTTGTCTCTGGAACTGGGACACCATCCCAGCGTGTGAACCACGGTTGCATGTGATTGCCTTAAGCCACAGAACTTGAATGCGTGCGTGCGCGCGCATACACACACACACACACACACACATTCACACACACAAACCGCAGTCACATGGAAATTCCCACTCACTCTCGGTGCAGTGCAGAGGCAAGCTTTCCCAGTTTAATTATGCCTTGGGAGTGTAATTTCACATTGACTTGCGGGCCACTTGAAATTGCTCCTGTCTTATTAAAGTTTCCACTTGCTCACATAACTTGGCTGGTTGGCCCAATACATCACCAAGCTTTGTTATGATGTGGAATTACAGTGTTCGCTTTCGCCTGAAATAGATAAGCCTCGCAGTGGACGTTACCTTCCTGGTCACTTGCTGATTCATTAAGAAAGCATTTTCTCTTGTTGGTGCATGACGCAGTTTGCTGCTGGGATATTCAAGGATGGCTCTGGAAATGTCCTGCTAAAAGAAGTTTTTAATAGTTACTATTAAAAGATCATTCTACTTGATTGACGTGAGTATTTTACATTTGCAAATAGCTTGTTTTATTCTAGACTGCTTTACAGGCTACAGTTATTGTACCTCCAAATTCAGCACAGTCTGTATTTGAGTCCGTGGCATCATTGTATCCAGCACACGGTCTGTGTTCTCTCACATAATCTCAGATCGCGTTCCCCGCTGTTGTTTTGCGTAGCTTAAATGTCAGATGTCATATGCAGGCTTTGGTTTTTAAATACAACTCTTAAACTTTTAGAACCACCAATTAAAACACATAATTCTTTACAACTTGGCTGCTTTGCTAATGGCTGGATGAGGTGCAATTATGGTTTAGACTTTTAA